AGTTTGTTCTCATACTACCCAATTTTGAAAATTTACTATAAAGCTTCAGTAATCAAATTTAGTATGATACTAGCATAAGGATAGTCATATTGATCAATAGAACAGAACAGAATCCAGAAATAAACTTTCACACTTATGATCAACTGATTCTCAAAAAACGTAACCAAAGTAATTCAATAGGCAAAAGACAGTGTTTTGAACAAACTGTCCTGGAACAACTGGATATCCATATTAAAGACAAATAAAACCATAGACCTTTATGTAACACCACACACAAAAGTTAATTCCAAGTGGATATTAGACCTAAATAAAGAACTAAAAACTGTAAAACTTCTAGAAGAAAATTCAGTTGAAAAATCTTGTAACCTGAGACTAGGCAAAGATTTCTTAGCTATGACACCATAAGCACAATCCATAAAAGAAAAAGAAAAAAAGATAAACTGGACTTCATCAAAATTAAAACCATTAAAAGTGAAAAGATAAGCCACAGACCAGAAAAATATTTGCAGATTATGTCTGATAAATCACCTTTATTTAGAGTTTAGAGAGAACTCTTACAACTCAATGATAAAACAACTCAATTTAAAAATGAGTAAAAGAGGGGCGCCTGGGTGGCTCAGTTGGTTAAGCGACTGCCTTCGGCTCAGGTCATGATCCTGGAGTCCCGGGATCGAGTCCCACATCGGGCTCCCTGCTCGGCGGGGAGTCTGCTTCTCCCTCTGACCCTCTTCCCTCTCGTGCTTTCTATCTTTCATTCTCTCTCTCTCTCAAATAAATAAATAAAATCTTTAAAAAAAAATGAGTAAAAGATTTTAATATAGTTAAATACCAGGGGAAAAAAATACATGAATGGCAAACATATGAAAAAGATGCTCAATAGCATTAGAATTAGTTTTTACTCAGAATATATAAAGAACCCTTACAACTCAATAATAAAACAAATACCCCAATTTAAAAATGGGCAAATGATTTGAATAGACATTTCACCAAGAAAAATACACAAATGGCAGATAAGCACATGAAAAGTTGACCAACAATATTAGTCATTAGGGAAATGCACATTAAAATCACAATCAGACCACTACACAACCACTAGGATGGCTAAAATGGAAAGACTAACAATACCAAATATTTGTCAGGAAGGAAACAAAAACAAAAATAAAAACAAAGACAAAAAAAACAAAAAACAACAGACCCCTCAAACACTACTGGTGGGAATGAATAATGGTAAAGCTACTTTGGAAAAGTTTTGCAGTTTCTTAAAAAGTTAAACATAAACTTACCATACCACCCAGTAATTCGATACCTAGGTTTTTAACCAGAAGAAATTAAAACAAATATTTACACAAAAACTTGTATGGGCAAGTTTTATATATCATTTTGTTCATATTAGCTAAAACTGGAAGCAATCTAAATGTTCATGAACTGGGGATGAATAAATAATAAAAAGATTACTCAACAATAAAAAAGAAATAAACTCCTAATACATGCCCTAACATGGGTGAACCTCAAAAGTACTGTAAGTAAAAGAAGCCAAATATGTAAGACTATGTATTATACAATTCCATTAATTTGGAATTTCTAGAGACAAAACTAGTGGCAGAAAGTAGATCAGTGACTGTCTGGAGTGGGGAGTGGGAGTAGAGGCTGACTACAAATAAGCAAAAGGAACTTTCTAGGGGGGATGGAAATATTCTTTTAAAAAAAAAGATTTTATCCATTTATTTGAGAGAGAGAATGCGAGCAGGGGTTTGGCGGGGAGGGGCAGAGAGGGAGAGAATCCCAAGCAGGCTCCACACCCAGCACGGAGACCAATGCGGGGCTTGATCTCACAAGGGAGATCATAACCTGAGCCAAAACCGAGTCAGACACCCAACCCACTGAACCACCCAGGTGCCCCGGGATGGAAATATTCTAAAACTGGATTGTGATGATAGTTGCACAACTCTGTAAACTTACTAAAAATTCTTGAACTACACACTTACGTTGACTGAATTTTTTGGTATGTAAATTATACTGCAATTTTTTTTAAAGATTTTTTATTTATTTATTTGTCAGAGAGAGAGAAAGAGAGCACAAGCAGGGGGAGCAGCAGAGGGAGAGGGAGAAGCAGGCTCCTCACTGAGCAAGGAGCCCGATGTGGGACTCAATCCCAGGACCCTGGGATCATGACCAGAGCCGAAGGCAGACGCTTAACGAGTGAGCCACCCAGGCGTCCCTATACTGCAATTTTAAAAATATTTTTAGAACTAAGGAAATGAATTTTCATTAAGTTCATCAAATATTAAAAACTCTGCCATATACGGGGTGCCTGGGTGGCTCAGTCGTTAAGCATCTGCCTTCGGCTCAGGTCTTGATCCCAGGGTCCTGGGATTGAGCCCCGCGTTGGGCTCCAAGCTCAGCGGGAAGCCTTTTTCTTCCTCTCCCACTCCCCTTGCTTGTGTTCCCTCTCCCGCTGTCTCTGTCTGTCAAATAAATAAAATCTTAAAAAAAAGAAAAAAAGAACTCTGCCATATACAATAGAAGGCAAATATGTAAGCAATCCCTAATCCCAAAATGCTCTTTCTCCAGGTTTAGGTAAGTGCCTTAGGAATAGTGAGTCATGGGGCTATGGGAGAAGAGACAGAAATGAGAAGACAGAGCCTATGGTTGTTGCCTTGGCCTTATCCTAATTATTTTGAAGAGTAATAGGATGAGATGTTAAAGTCTAATCAGACTGCTCTTAGGTAGTCAGGAAGCAGAAATTTAAATGGTCTGATTAGAGCCCAGGAAAACAGCTTTTCCAGCTGAACTCCACTGGTCTCAGACTTCACCACTGAGGGACATCCTCCAGAAAGCAAAACAATGAATACAACACGATGCCGCAGAAGTTTTATTTGATGTCATGCTGGCTTGCTTCCAAGGGAGTATATCCTAGTCAGTACTAGTTGTCAGATTAGATATTTTCAGCTCCACTTATTTTTATTGGTTGGACACACTCAAACTAGTAGGCAGACTCACCAATGACCTGTCAAGTACATGAAGAAAAGCTAAAAAAAAATTTAAGAAAGTCAGATTGGGCCATAGTGACCAAGTGAAAAAATTATGACTTTCTTAAATGACTCTTTAGTTGCTATGAGCTAACATTCATCAAGTTCCTACTAAATGTTAGGTATTATTGTAAGCACATTTAGATATATTTGTTCATTAAATCCTCAAAAAACGCTATGAGCTGTGGAGTGTTTTTATCTCCTATGAGTGAGGAGACCAAGAGACAGAGAAGTGAAGTGACTTACTCAAGGACACAATGGTAAGGCTGAGATTTTAACCCATGAGTTTACCTAGAGAAACTATGGTAGCCACTATGTAACATTGCCTCCCCATTTATATATTTACCCACTAGAACTATGTCTCTCTTCTGTTCAAAACTCCCTAGCGTTCCTCTGCTACTCAAGGTCAAAGCCAAAGTTCCTACAATGGTCTACAAGTCCCTGTGTGCTCTAGCTTCCCATCACCTCCCTAAAACATCACTGACCCACTGCATTCACTTTGCTGTTCCTGGATCACACTAGACTTGTACCTATCTCAGAGCCTTTGTATCTGCTGTTCCTACTGCCTGTAACACTCTTTTCTGAGACAGTGGTTTGCTCCCTTGTTCCTTTCAGACCTCTACACAAATGTCACCTCTTTAGAGAGGCCTTCCCTGACTACTCTTCCTAAAATAGTACTCCCCATCCTTTTTATACTTAATTATAAGCACCTGACAATGTTTATTATCTAACTCCACCATCTAGAATAGAAGCTCCATAAGAGCAGGGACATCTAGGAGTTTGGCTTTGCACCACCAGTGCCTAAGACAGCACCTGACAAAAAACAGACAATCCTTGAATTTAAAAATCTGTCACATATGCTTTGATTCACAACCCAGTCATATAACTTTAGGTAACAATTCATGACCCTGTACCAAAAAAATTCAAACCAAAAGAAAAAATGCAGTCTTTTAGAACCTTTATTTCTATTATTTAAAATCTGATCTTCCTTAATGTGTATGTATATTTCCATGCCTCCTTTAAAAGGTGAAGTTTCTTTGGAAAGTCTGATGACTTCTATAAACTTTGCTACACAAAAAATTATTACAAGTGTAACTTCTTAACTGTGTCTTGAAGGGGAAAATAAGCCCAAGTTGCCAATGGATGCCTGTCCCTCAAGGGAAAATGAAATTCTTAAATGCACTGACTTAATACTGCTAAGTAAGTAAATAACACATATTAAACTTCAGGCTCAATTTACACAAGACTCTAATTTCCTAGCCACAGCTAGGTGACTTTCTGACTATTAGTACCTCAAAGTGCCTGTTTAAAAAAAAAAAGAGTAAAAAGCAGATTTTTAAAAACTTTTCACTTTATTTGGGTCATTTTAGAACACACATATTTGCTTTGTTGTTGTTGTTGTTAACAGAGCAGTAAGTCACAGAACACCATGAGCTCTTCCTCAATAAATTAAACGCTCCCTAGGAGGAGAGGAAAGAAGAAAAGGTGAGGGAACATAAGCAAAAGTAAGAACAATATGTGCCAAAAGATAGATTTTATAAGAAGGCGAGCCACCCCTTCCGAAACTGCAGGTTTCGAGGAGGCTGGTTTCAAACAAATCGAGAGCGATGGGTAAAGTCCAACTCTCCAAGTACTGTTGCAGATCATCCGGAAACAAATACTGGCGGCATAGTAGTAGGGCCCCCTCCGTCCCACTCATAGCAAGTATCTCCACGCCACTCACCTTGCGTTTTAGATGAGCACAAATCACATCCCTACTTTAATCAGGTAAATTAGGAGTCAGACATCCCTCCCTATACATACACAAACCATTCACTCAAGGGCTGTAAAACGCAGTCCATGGAATCTGGGAAGACCGAAACCCGGAGTCGCTGGAATCTCTCCCTCCCAAGTTCTCTCCGCTTTCTGAGGCTGAGCCGAGAGGAATGCCACAGGGACAAAGCGGGGAGGAAGGGGGCATCTCCCCCTTACCTTGATGGCTTTCTCCATGTCGCTCTCCTTGGACATGCTCCGTGGGGCCTCTACAGCCGGGAGCGGCGGAGGCTGCACAGGTGCCAGGTCCCACCGTAGCCGGGGGAGCAAGGGGCTCGGCGCTCGGGCCCCTGGGCCTCGGGGAGACCGGCAGCAGCCGTCCCCAGGGACCGGCGGGGATGAGGGCCCCGGCGCCGGCTCCGCTTCGGTGGGTGGCTCTAGGCTGGCGGCGGCGGCCCCCGGGGACAAGCCTTTGTGCTGGGCCCCGTGCGGCCGCCTCCCGGCTTCATCCCCGGCCGGGGAGGCAGGCTCCCGGGGCAGGGCGAGGCGGGGAGGGTCCCCGTCCGGGGAGCTATGCAGAGGCCTCGCGGGGCCGCCGATTAGGCCTGGGCTCGCCAGGTCCTAATGAGGAACCTGCGCCTCCGTCTCCGCCGCCGGCACCGCTGAGAAGCCGAGGCCGAGCCGGCCGCCGCCGCCGCCGCCGCCGCCGCCGCTCCCGATGCCGCTTCAGCGCCACACATCGCCGGGACACCCGCGCCGGGCAGCCCCGCCGGCCGGCCGGCCGCCCGCCGGCGCTGGGCCCTGCCTGAGCTCCGGGCCGCCCGTCCTGCCGCCCGACTCCTTGCCCCCACGGCTCCACGCGCCCCTCGCCGCCGTCCGCTGGGGTTTCCGAGCGCCCCCAAACCACGCAGTTGATTTTCAGGCATCTGCGAGGGTCTCCTCAAGCTGCGCCACACTCGGGACAGGCCCCGGGGCCCTCCGCAGCGCTGGCGCCGCGCTGATGACGCAATGCGTCGGGCTCCGACGGGGCGGATCCACTGGAGAACGCCACCTGACTCGAGTGGCGTTCGCGCCCCTTTTTTACTCTCAGACGCCGAGAAGGAGGTTCGTTCTGCCAGGAACAGCCTGCGCGCAGGAGCCGGGGGTTTCAACTCGTGATGAAGAGGAAACGGAGGTCCCGGGCGGGTCTAGCGGTAAGGGAACAAAGTTGTGTATAATAATAACAGGCATAGTTATGTATTCGGAGGGTTAATTTTACGTGAGGCTCTTTCTCCCAATCAGGTTCTTTATTCTTTACAAAGCAGGCATTTGGCGCTGCGAGGTGTGTCCTTACCCCGTGTTTACAGGTTAGGTAATTAAGGCTCTGAGAGCCCAACTCTCTTGGGCACAGCTGAGAAGTAGTCAAGTCAGAATTGGAACCCACGTTTGTGCTCCTTCCACTACACCACTACCTGTCCAAGGACCTTGTACGAGCTGTTGGCAGATCACCTCTTCATTCGTTCAGTTATGTACTGAGCACCACCGTGTACCAGGCCTACTCAACACTTGGGAAACAATAGGAACAACAGTCGGTACCTACTCAGTGGATCTTAATTTCAGGAAAGCTAAGCAGCAAATAAACGGGGAAACACAAGAGTTTGTAGGTGCCAAGAAGAAAGTGTACAGGATGTTGAGATAAGAGAATAACTGGATGTGGGGACTTTCCCTAGTAGATGATCAGGGAATGGGGTAACACTGAAGCTGAGACCTCTAAGGAATGAGAAGGAGCTGACTGTTGCAAATCTGAGGAGGAGATTTCTGGACGGATGGAACAGCAGGTGCAAAAATCTTAAGGTGGAAAATACATTCAAGGAGCAGCAGAATGTTCATTGTAGCTGGAGCAGAGCAAGTAGGAGAAAATGACAAAGAATGAGGTTGGAGAGGTGGACAGAGGCTGTATCATACACTCTAGGGTCATGGTAATGACTTTAGATTTTATTTTATGTAATTGAAAGGTTTTAAACCAAAGAGTGATGTGAACAAAGTTATGTTTTGAAAGATCATTCTGCTAGATAGAGAAATATGGGCAAGCAAGAGGGAAGATGAGAGGTATTAAGAGGCTATTGGAATAATCCAGATGAGAGATTATTTTGATGGTTGAACTCAGATAGTGGCAGCAAAGATGGAGTAGATGGATTTATGGTATGTTTTGGGAGTAGAGTTGACAGTATTTCCTGAAGGATTCGATATGGAACGTAAGAATAAGAAATGAGGGGCGCCTGGGTGGCTCAGTTGTTAAGTGTCTGCCTTTGGCTCAGGTCGTGATCCCCGGGTCCTGGGATGGAGCCCCACATCGGGCTTCCTGCTTGCGAGGAAGGCTTCTTCTCCCTCCCCCACTCCCTCTGCTTGTGTTCCTGCTCTCACTATCTCTCTGTCAAATAAATAAAATCTTAAAAAAAAAAAATCAAGAGTAACTTCTGAGTCTGGCTTCAGCAACTGGAGGGACAATGGTACCATTCAGTGATTGACAGACTTGATGCAGGTGAAGATGGGGAATCCATATTTTTTTTCTGTCGAGGATAATTTGAGGATTTTGTGTGATTTACCAGAGGATAAGTCAAGTAATTGGATATAAGTTGTGGTGCGGACGTAGTTGTCCTCTTTGTTGGCCATACGCCTACTGTACATTCCTCAGCCCCCTTAAAGTAGGTGTGGCCATGTGCCTATGCTCTCCCCAATGGAAAGTGAACAGGAGAGATGTGCACAGTTTCCAGGCTTGGCCCAGAAAATTTGTCAACAGGTGAGCTTACTTACTCTGCCAGCTGGATGATGATGAGAAGGTTCTGGAGAAGGCAAGGCTCCAAGATGGAAGATTCCTGAGTAGAGGAGAACCACTGCTCCATTGACTTATATATCCACCTAGGACTGTTACATGAGAAAAAAATAAACTTTTATTGTTTTGAACTTTTATGTATTTGACTCTTTTTGTAATAGCAGCTTTGCCTGTGCTTTCTAACACAAATAAGAGCAGTGATCCAGTAGTGAACTTTGAGAGAAATTTTCTGAATGAATTGACATTATCCATAACAGTAAGGAAATAAAAGGTGCCTTGGATTTATTCATTCATTGATTCCGTAATAATTTATCAGGTGCCTCTCTGTGCCAGGCACTGTGTTTACTTAATAGAAATGCAGAGATGAAGAACTCGTACACTGAGTCTGGCAGCTCAGCTTACTGGCTGTTATCTGCATGTGCTTTCCCTCTACCTGGAAACAATCTCCCCTCCCAACATACACATACACAGACATACACACAGCCTAATTTCTACATGTTCTTCAACCACATTCTAAATACCATTTTAGGGGCACCGGGGTGGTTCAGTCGGTTGAGCAGCCAACTCTTGGTTTTGGCTCAGGTCATGATCTCAGGGTCATGGGATGGAGCCCCATATTAGGCTTTGGGCTCAGCGCAGAGTCTGCTTGAGATTTCTCCCTCCCTCCAGCTCACGCTCTCTCTTTCTCAAATAAATAAAAATAAAATCTTAAAAATAAATATTATCGGAAAGACATGCCTAATTCTTATTCCTAATCTAAGTCAGATATTCCTATTGTCTCATAACTTACTTTCTTGTACTTACCACAGTTTTTATTTATTTATTTGTTTGTTATACTTTAGTGTTCTCTCCCCAACTAGACTGTAAATAATCTCAAGGGAAAGAATCTTACGTATTACTGGTCACATCCTCAACACTTAACCCACTGCAGGTGTTTAATAAATATTTGCTGAAGGAATCAGTGAATGGAGAAGGCAGAGCCCAGAGGAAGGAGAAGTTTCCTCCATTTTTTGCTGGGGAGGTGGCTGTGGTAGGCAGCCTCTAAGGTAGCCATCCATGATGCCCACCTCTAGGTATTCATGATCTTGTGTAATCCCCTCACCCTGCTTGTGGGCTGATCTAGGGACTTGCTTCTGATGACGAAATGTCATGTCTCAGATTACATTACAGAAAGACTTTGTCTTTCATCTTGGGTGCGCTCTCTTACTCTCTTCCTCATTTGCTCTGAAGGAAGCCAGCTCAAATGTGAGGTTCTTTGTTAGTTTCCTGGGGGCTGCCATAATAAATTGCCATAAACTGGGTGACTTAAAACAACAGAAATTTTATTTTCTCACAGTTCTGGAAGCCAAAAGTCTGAAATCCATGTGTTAGCAGGGCTGTGCTCCCTCTGAAGGCTCACCTCTTCAAGCTTCTGGTGGCTCCCAGCAGTCCTCAGCATTCCTTGGGCAAAAGGGGTGCATTACTCCAGTCTCTGCCTCTGTCTTCACATGGCCTTCTCTGTCCTTTCCTCTTATGGAGACACTATCATTCTACCCAAATCCGGTATGATTTTATCTTAATTACATCTGCAAAGACACTGTTTCTAAATAAGGTCACATTCTGAGGTTACATGTGGACATGAATTTGGAGGGCAGGATACTAATCAGGCCACTATAGTTGCCTAGTTGAGGGGCCCACATGTCAAGGAACTAATTTCTCTTGCCAACTGCCAGTGAGAACCTGAGACCTGCCAAAGGCCACATAAATGACTTTAGAATGGATCCTCCCCCAGTTGAGCCTTGAGATGACTGCAGCCTTCTGTGCCAGGAAGAGGCACCCAGCTAAACTGTGCCCAAATTCCTGACGCACAGAAACTGAGATAACAAATGTTTTTAGGACACTGAATTTGGGGGTAATTTGTCACACAGCATAGATAAACTAATACGGAATTTGGTGCCTGGAAGTGGGATGCTGCCATAACAACTAGCTAAAATGTGGGAGTGGCTTAGAACTAGGCAGCGGGCAGAGGCTGGAAAGATTTTGAGGAGTGCATTGGAGAAAGCCTACATTATCTTGAGCAAACTTAGTAGGAATCTGTACTTCTCAGTACCAAAATCTTTGTCAGCTTGGGCTGCTATAACAAAATACCATAGACTGGGCATCTTAAAAATAGAAATTTGTTCCTCACAGTTCTGGAGTCTGGGAAATCCAAGATCAAGGTGTGGGCAGATATGATTCCTGGCAAGGCCTTCTTCCTGGCTTGCAGATGACCACCCTCTTGATGTGTCCTTCACATGGTTGGAGAGAAAGCCACCTTGAGTGTCTTCTTTTTCTTTTTCTTTTTTTTTTTAAAAGATTTTATTTATTTATTTGACAGAGAGAGACACAGCGAGAGCAGGAACACAAGCAGGGGGAGTGGGAGAGGGAGAAGCAGGCTTCCCGCGGAGCAGGGAGCCAGATGCGGGGCTCGATCCCAGGACCCTGAGATCATGACCTGAGCCGAAGGCAGACGCTCAACGACTGAGCCACCCAGGCGCCCCGAGTGTCTTCTTTTTCTTATAAGGACACTAATCCCATCATCCTCATGACCTCATCTAAACCTGATGACAACCCAAGGGCCCCACCTCCAAATAGCATCACGGTGGGGGTTGGAGCGTCAGCATATGAATTTGGTGGGGAACATAACATGGCCTAAAGGTAAAGTAGAAGATGTGACTGTATAATAGTTTGTGAAGACCTCAGACAATCAAAGGTGGTACCTCAGAAGCCTGTTCAGTCATGGAAAAGATCCTTTACAGAGACTCAGGTGCATCTCAAAGATCCTCTCAAACATAAGGCCTCTAGAATGCTTGAGGTCATTGTTCTGCAGCAGTCACAGCAGAAACTGAAGGTAGAGGGGGACTTGTTCAGGGAGATTTGTGGATGTGGCTTTAGTCTAATGGTGCAAATGCCCAGTAAGGTTCCCAGGAAGCCCACAGAGTTCTTGAAAGAGTCATAGTTGGGCTCTTGGAAGGAGAAGGAGACAGCACAGGCCGAAAAGAGGCCTTTAGACCTCCAGGATTCTTGCAGGAAGCCAACTGAGCTGCTCAGCTGCACATATGTGCTACTTTTTATGAAATAGTATGACTCAGAGTGGAGCCAAGAGCCATGTATAATCATTCTCAGGCTCTGAAAACTGGAGGAGTTGCCAACATTTGCCGAGCTGGCTTTC